TCATAGTATAAAGAGAGTTGTTAGTGCACATTTGAAGTATTTATACACACTACTTTCATAATTTTTAGTTCATAGGTTGGATCTCCTGTGGCAAACTTTTGGGAGAGAATGGACAAGAGCCTTGCAGATTATAGCATGAATGGACAAGAGTTCTATAGAACAGACAGGCATGGACTGGTTGTGATCTGCATTGCTGAAATGGAGCTACTAAATTGATGAGATCACATCCATTTGCGTATCTAAGTACTTTTAAGTGATAACCTCATATGGAAAGGATGATTCTGATCTTGATAAGCAATTATACTACTGTTAGTGGCTTGAGACATTCGTGCAGAGCTATTTGTACTCTTTGGTTTTACTCTTCTTTCACTGGTAGCATATTTACAGTTTATTTATTAGGGCTTAAAGGAACAGTGTTAGAATAAGGTTGTTTTGATTACTTATTTGTACATATGACTTTCCTCGGGCGTTTCTAGGGATTGAACATATAAACATAGTCTTATTAGCACCATGCTTTAAGAAACCATTTAAGACATTACTGAAAAAATATGTGACTAAAGGAGAATTTGTTAATATCTCTTTGTAGTTCTTTGAAATTCTATAATTAGATATTTTTGAGTTTACTTCCAGACATCATATTCAGGCTGTAGTTTCTTGAGATATAGAAGCCATTAAACCCCTGATCTGAAAAGGACTAATTTGACTCATTTATAAACCAGAACCTCATACAGATTCTTTTACAAAGTTTGAAAGAAAATCAACTGTTTTCCATTTTATTCATAGAATTTCAGAGGAAACTAACTCAAATTGTACATATATGTAAGCATACATGCCCCTTAACAGAAAACGTACTATGAAAGACAGTCAATATATTATGTCAAATTGAATATGAACTACAATTATCTCATCCAGATCATTTAGCAAAAGCCAAATCTTGAAGAGCTGATTAACTTACCTATAAAGCTGGATTTAAGAATGTGTTCTATGAGAAACTGGGCAATGAGAAGAGGCATTTATTAAGCACCTACTATGCAAGGTAGTCTACTAAGTACAAGGAATACAATGCTGGAAAATGTCAGAGTTCTTGTCCTCAAGAAACTTATAATAAATGTACAAATAAGTATAAAACAGAACAATTTTATAAGGGCATTAGTGAGGTTCATAAAGTGTTATAAGGAAGTTGGAAAAGAAAGGCATTAGATCACCTCTAGGCCGTGTGATTGGGGAAGACTTCTTTGAGGAGGTGACATGTAAGTTGCTTCTTGAAGGAAGAGGAGGGATTTCAATAGGTAGCATTATGAAAGAAGTAATTTTAAAGTTTACTAGGTAGCTTGTATGAATGAGTGCACATGGAAGAATGAAGGAAAAGACTAAGTAACAGTTCCAATATGGTTACAATGTGGTTGGTGAAGGTAAATAGTATGGAATAAGGGTAGAAAGATAAGTGGATGCCAGACTGTGAAGACTTAAAAAATGCCAGACTAGGGAGTTTGTACTTTATCCTATAAGCCAAAGACAGAACAACGTGATTAGATCTCTATTTTACAACATGAAAGAGGTTTTCAGCGTATTGATATTTTTCCTCTTCTTTTTCTTTCTTTTTTTTGTCTTTAAAAATATTATTTGCTATGAGCAATAGCTCCCTTGGAGGGGGAGAAGGTGGGATAATGGGGAAAACTATAATGATATAAAAGCAAAAGACATCAATAAAACTTTATTTAAAAATAAAAAAAGAAATGAAAAGGAATACTAAGAACACTTTATGTCAGTGTTTATAGCACTTTTGATTTTTAGGTATTGAAAGGAAATTGCTTTTAAGTATTTTTCCATTACATACATAGAAACAATTTATAGAGATATATGACTTAGACTGGTGGCTGACCAGTAATATTGTACCACGGTGTAAGAAATCATATGAATGACTCAACTTGACTATCACTGGACAATTTGTGACAAAATCTGTAGAAAAGTTACTGCTACTAGGTCCTGATGTTATTGAAAAACTGAAGTCTTTCTTCCTAAGGAAAAAAATGCTGTACTTTAAAATTTCTAGATAAAGTTACATGGTATGCTTGTTTCATAAGGTCTTAAAATGATTATTTTACAAAATTACTAGACAGCATTTCAAATGAAAAGTCAGAACTAAAGTTAGTATCTTTAAAATAGACATAAATGATTTCTTTCCCTCTCTCCTTCCAGCTAAGTTTAACATCAAGAACAGAAAGACATCAATAATTCTAGTTTGCCAGAGGCATGGCTATTTCTTTATACTCACTGTCAAGTATCTAATTTAATTTAAAGGTATTAAACTCCATGCTGAGGTCAACAAGCCTTACTTCCTCCAATATTACACTTCAACCAGTGCTCATTAATGTGTCTACTGAATGGATTAGCACATCTGAAGATATATGTACAAAGGAAAAGGGGACAATTTAATGATATCCAATTGTTCATTCGTAATAGGACACATGTTCAAAGCCTCAACTTATTATCATTAATGTGGAATTTATTAAATTTGGGTTAAAAAATGCCAATGCAGTAAGCCATTTTTTGTTGAAAGGAATTAGCTACACATTATCTTTTTTTATAGTTTTATCTTCTAATGAAGAACATATGTATATATATATTTTATGACATATCACACCAAAATATTCCATAGACTCATGGGATTTTAGATTTGAAGCAAGACGGAATATTATATGTTATGTCCACCAATTCTTTAATTTTACTGATTAGGAATATCAGGCCGAAATTGGTTAAGTGACTTGTCCATGAATATACATGTCAGAACCAAAGCCAGTATTTTAACCAGGTCTTCTGATTTCAAATCTAGCACCCTTTCTAATTAATCATACTGGCTAGGGTAGAAATATTTGATAATTGCTTCCACATATGTTTTTAAAAAATTTAGATGTCAAAATACCTTACATAATAATAGCGAACATACTTTCCTAATCAAATATTACCAAATGGCAATCCCTGGCTTTTGGTACTTGTTTGTTATTGTTGTTTAGTTGTTTCAGACTCTTTGTGACCCCATTTGGAGTTTTCTTGGCAAAGACACTGGAGTGGTTTGTCATTTCTTTCTCCAGCTCATTTTCCAGATGAGGAAACTGAGGCAAATAGGGTTAAGTGACTTGCCCAGCTTCATTCTGCAATTCATAATAGCAACTCACACAGCAAGCATCTGAGGCCAGATCTGATCTCAGTAAGATGAGTCTTCCTGAATCCAGGCCTGGCACTCTATCCTCTGTACCACCTACCGGCCCCGTGGTACTTGTTTAGAACTTTCTAATTATAATCTAAACCTCAATTTTGTTGACTTTCACTATTGATTTTGCATGTCTATCAATGTTTGAAGCAACAACAAATCAGAATATTGTCCTATGTCTTATAAAATCTTTTATAAAACTTTTTAGATTTTAAAAAACAAAACTGATATTTATATGCCTGCTAGATGGCATAAAGCACCAAGCCTACAGTCGGGAAGACCCGACTTCAAATGTGGTCTCAGACACTTACTGTGAGACCCTGGGCAAGTGACATAACTTCTATTTAATAGCACCTACTTCCAAGGGATGTAGTAAGGATCAAATGAGGTAATAGTTGTAAAGCGCTTAGCATGGTGCCTGGCATATAGTAAACACAAAATAAATGTTAGGTTTTTTAATTATTATTACTATTTTATTATTAAATTGTTATTATTTTGTAGTCTTGAGGCTACAAAAACATTTTGTATACCTCATGTTATATTTTATTCTTTAAGAGAGAGGTACTACAGGTATTATTGCCACATTTACAGTTAAGGATTCTGAATCATTAAGTATCCCAAGGTCACACAGTAAGCGTTGGAAATGGGATTTGAATTCAGATCTTGGTTGATGTCAGATCTAGCACATTTACCTCTATACCATGATACTAATGGCTTGGTAATTCTGTTATAGCTTTCCAGTGAAACTGTTTAAGAGTTGTGGAAAGTGCCAGGAATGATTTTAATTTACAGTGGTATTGTCTTATATGGTAACTTAGCCTTTATTTATCCTGACATTATTTATTCAGTAATAGTTATGAATAAACAGAGAAAGGAGCAGTAAAAAAGAGAAACGCCAAGTTTATATTTAACTTTTAAAATGCTTTTCTCTGGTTGAATTACAATCATCTTTACCAACATGACCTTTATCAATAAAAGAATTAAAAGGAATTGTGTACTTATAATATTTTAAGGCTGTTCTAAGATTAGTGAAATGACTGTGAATGCCTCTTCTTACTATAAGAAACTTTATCTGGGAAAAAAAATGTATCAGCTCAAACTTTCTTGGTGAGCTTTTTAAAAAGACAGATCACCCAAATCATTACAAAGAAAACTTTAATTTTAAGATGACAAATCTATTAATAATTTTTTTAAATGGCACAATTCTATTTTCATATGCTGATGTATATAATACAACAATAAAAGAGTCCCTGCCCTCAAGAAGCTTCCAAGTTAGGGAAAAGTGTTTTGGTGTGGGAAGTCAGAGCCACAGAACAAAATACAAACTATTGTTTGGAATTTATCCTAACAACCTTGCACATAATGTCTCCTCCTATTGAATGTAATCTACTTGAAGGCATATATTATTATGTGCTTAATCAATGCTTGTAGACTGGGAAAAAATGTTGATTTTGTAGCACTTTTAGCAAAATATTTACTATTTTAAATTAGCATAGAGAAGTGTAGCTGTTATACGTTTGTTTTTATGACGTATTACTGGCCATGCTATATTTTATTTGAAGCTGAGGTTCTATTCAGGAACTCAACCCCTAATTATAATATTTTTCTTATAGTCAACCATGAGTTGCTTTAATGCACTACACTACAAAATGAGGAGCCATATTAAAAAAACACAAAACTAGTGCTTTATGAATGTTAATACTTAATATCTGAATATACAGTATTCCTTTAAGTAGCAATCTGCTTTTACTAAGGTTTATTATTTAATTAAAAAGCAAAAAACACTTACTTTTTTGGTTAAAGAGTCATCAGAATCAGAAGGCATTCGTGTTGAGACATGAAACATTACTTCTACTGTAGAAGTGGCAAAGTATGGAGTGGTCAATCCAGTGCTTTTGTTCTTTTGCAGTCCTCCCATAAAACCACAGTGATTTGTTAGGTTTACCTGTGAGAAAAAACAAACAAAAAAGTTTAAAAATTCCATGTAAAAAACCCAAATCATAGATATTTTAAATTGCAAAAATAACATTTTTCAATTATTAAAAAAAATTTAAAAAGTATAGCATATATACCAAGTCAGAATTCATCTATTCACATATTATTTTATTTCTGAGCTGAGGACACTTAATTAGTAGAAACTAATTAGGAGAGAAACCAACTGCTGAGTGATGGTATCCTATCTTGGTCCAATAGGTGTTAATGACAAATTACAAAGGCATGTGAGAGATCATGGCTAGGAAGTTAAAAAAAAAAGACTGGAAATGGCTTAAGGGTAAAATTTTATACAGTAATGACAATTTGATTAAATGATCAATAGGTGCATGATATTTAATCAGCCTAAAATGATTCCTCAATTTGTGTTATACTTTGCTCTTGACCAGAGCTGGAAAATAATAACTTAGCACTCTACAGTACTTTTTTTCTTCATGACAAATTATAAATTAATTTGTGCACAAATTTTAAATAAGAGGACTTAACCACTTGATAAAATGAAGATAATCTTTCATTTCATAAAGGTACAGACTGAATACTTTTCAAATATAAATAATACACTGCGAAGAGTTGCAGGTAAAACCCAATAGTTTATGTCGGATAATCTGTATATAATCTAATTTAATTGTACTAGATTTTATATGATAAATATTTTATAATGTTCAAAGCATATCTGTATACTTTATCACAAGTAATATAATAATACTAGGAAATAGGTCTAATTATCTGTTTAACAGACAAGGAGGCATAGAAACTTAATTGATTTGCCCAAGATCACATAGGTGGTACAATTCCAGTTGCAACTGAACCCATAAATACTTAAAATACGTACTATGTGCAAGTGTGAGAAAGCTGGGAAGAGACCCAACTCTACCGACACTCCAAACAATTGCTGTTTTGACAGCTGAGACTCAGAGCAGAAGCAACAGGATGACTGAAAGTGGTTTTAGTATTAGTCCCCAGAAGTCCCCCCAGGTTTTAGATGCTTAATCCCCAGAAGAACTTTCTGGTAACATAAAGGAAAAAAGTATCATAACAAGGAAGAAAAACATACCTTTTTTTTCTATAAGAAATGAAACAAGAATCTAAAATTCTTTATAAGATGTTAAATTTAAAACTAATACCTCCCAACCAAGACCAGCTACAAAATCCTCATACGCCTGACTTCCTCCAGTATTAGTGAGAATGGAGTGCTTATCTTCTTGTCCCTCGGCCACATAAAATACAGCAATCTTGTGTGTCTCTCGGCTGTAGAAATAAAAGATCACATTATTTATTTAAAAAGTATTTATGCCCATACGATTTATAAAGAATCAGGAGGTCCTGGGAATAACACAAAGATGAAGACTTTATTACCGCCTTCCAAGAGCTTGTAATTAGGTAGTCAAGAAATGATATACTAGTATTTAGACCATCTAATTTATGTACTTGAAGAGACTCTCTTGATCCTAACCAAGGCATTTCCTGATTGGATCAAACTGGCTTGATAAATCTGAAACAAACTATCACTGGCAGTACTGTTTTACTATTAGACCAGCAAGCAAAGAGAGGCAATGGATAACAATAGCAGGAGCTTAATCAATTTAAACTGAGATGGATAATAAAGGACCTTTCCTTCCCTTCTTCACAACACTTGCCTACAGAAAAAAAACCAAAACAAAACAGAGGAATAAAAGAACCCAAACAAGTCATGATTATTGGTTTTAATATTGGTAATTCATCATTAATAACAAATTGTTATTGCTACCTTTCTTTTTCAGATTTTAAATTCTTAAACATCAAAAGGAAAAGCATTTCCAATTAGTACTACTCAAAAGGACTATATTTAAAACCATGAGTCTCTATTTCACTTCACATTTAAAAAAGTATATAATAAATTCGGCACATTAATTTCAAGACTGCCTTGGCTTGCTTGTGTTTCCTTCTATACTCTATGAATTAAAAAAAAAAAAACCAAATGTCTAAATGCCTCTCTCTCTCAGCATCACCACTGTTAACTCCCTCCTCTTCCATTAAAAATTAAAAACAAAAACAACACATTAACAAATAAGCAAAGCCAAGCAAAATGAATCCATGTTATTATGGCTATGTCCAAAAAATGTATATCTCTTTCTGTACCTTCAGTCCATTAACTCTCAATAAGGAGGTAAGTAATTTGTTTCATCACCTGTCATCTAGAGACATGTCTAATCATTGCTTTGATAAATCTTTAACAGATGGTTTACTTTACAATGATTGTTGATGATGTCTTTATATGAATTATTTGCACAGTACTCACTTGACTCTACATAAGCTCATACTACCCAGGATTTTCTAAAATCATGTTTCATTATTTCTTTTTCTTTTTTTTTTAAAGGCAACTGGGGTTAAGTGACTTGCCCAGGGTCACAAAGCTAGTAAGTGTCAAGTGTTTGGTCTGAGGCCGGATTTGACAGGTCCTCCTGACTTCAGGGCCGGTGCTCTATCCACTGCGCAACCTAGCTGTCCCTCATTATTTCTTATGGCTAATAATATTTTACTACGTTCATTTATACATTCACACATTTATTCAGTCATTCCCCAACTGACAGAATCATCTTAGATTCCAGTTTTTGTATACATTTTTCCTTTTCATCCCCTCTCTGGGATGAAGACATTTATTTTGTTTGTAATTATTCTCTCCTCAGTAGTAGCCTCTTCTCTCCTTATCCCTATCTGTTTTTCTTTCTTTTTAATTTGATGTATTTCTACACCAAATTCTTTATGTGTTCGTATATGCTCAAACTGTCTTTGTTTCAGATAAGATTAAGTTTCATCTGATGTCTGCTCTCCCCAACCATTCCTCCATGTTTCTATACTCTTTATCTCATAGACTCTAATTATGAGAAAGAACAACATTCTCCCTCTTCTTCATTTTCCCTTCTCTTTCTCTTTTTGAAAATCTCAGGGTAGAATCATTTCACCCCACTGCCCCCACCTCCTCTGCTTTTGTTTTTAAACTCCCTCAATACCTTCTAAAGAAATTAAGGTGTGAAGGGAAACGATTCTTCTAATCATACTAGAATGTAAGTACATCATCACCAGACCAACTGCTCAAATAAATTTACCTTTCTAGGTTTCTCTGGACTCTTGTACTTGAATTTCAAAGTTACTACTCAGCCTTTTTTTCCCTTTTAAACAGAAATACTTGTAAGTCCTCTATTCCACTTAAGAACTATTGCTTCCCCTGTAAATACTAAACTCAGTTTTGCTGCCCACCCATTTTTGCCTTTTAGCATATTGTACTCAGAGATTTCCTATCATTTAATGTAAGCTGCTAGGTCAAGTGTGATCCTGACTGAGGTTTTGGGGGTGGCTTTAACTGCTTCTTTTTGGATGTTTGAAGTATTTTTTTCCTTTGACTTAGGAGCTCTGGATTTTAACTATGACATTTCCTAGGACTTCTCCTTTTATGGTTTCTTCCAGGTGGTAATTAGTAGATTCTTTTTATCTTTACTTTGCCCTCTGGTTCTAATATATCTAGGCAGTTCTCATTTATGATTTCTCAAAATATACAGAGTCCAGGATCTTTTTTTAAAAAACAAAAACAATTATAAGTTTCAGTAAGTCCACTGTTTAAAAATCTTTTTCTTCTTTACCTAATTTCCAGGTAGGTTGAAAAAAGAATTAGGTATATTACTTTTTTTCTCCAATTTTTTTTATTCTATTACTTCTTGCTGTTACATGTAGCCATTGATTTCTATTTGGTCTAATCTAATTTTAAGGGAGTACATTTCTTGGGTAAGAATTACCACTTTATGTTCTAATGTTATTTCCTGTTCCTTAAATTTTGTCCTCTGGAGCTTATATTTAATTTTTATCTCCTTATAATTTCTTCTAGGTATTCATGTAGTCCTTGTGGAAAACCCATTGTTTTCTTTGAACCTTTGCTTACAGTTTTTATTCTCTCCTTGTCTGTTTTTATAATGATTTCCTGATCTATGATAATTTTTGCTATTGGTCTGATATTGAACAAAATATATTATCTTTTGTTTACTTATTTCTCTATCTTTAGTTATAGATTGGTGCTTTGTGCCAGGGCCAAGCTACACCCCCTGCTATAATTTTGGGTGGAGTGGTCAATCCTGCTTGGTTTAAACATGAATTTCCTGGGTTCCTATGCTGACCTCTACCTCCTGGAATTAGTCCTATATGAATCTTTTAGATTTAGAGTGCTCCATCCTCTGGACCCTCTATGGTGTCTCAACCAGAATACTAAGGAGTTTGTAGAGCTTCCTGGGCTGTTCTAATCTGAAAGCTGGCATGCTATACTAGTTTTGCTGCCTCTTTACCCTGGTGATTTCTGACCACCACTGAGACCTTCTCGCAGTGGGAGGGAGACTTCATTCTCCCTGCCTCTGGATATAAGTTGGCAGACTATACATATTGCTAGCTGTCTCTGGTCATGGTTGGGGGTTCTGGGCTTATAGCTGACTTTTTATGAAGTTCTGGTTATGTAGTGACTAAAGTTTCTCATTGGATTTCTTGAACATTTAGTCTGGTGTGGAATTTCAGGTTTTCAGTGTAACGGATATATGAGAGGAGTTAAGTCGGCTTCTATTTAGGCAACCATCTTGGTTGGAAGTCTATTGCTACCATTATTAATGTTGAGCTTCCTTTTTTAAAAATTTATTAAGAAGTGAAACTGCTTTGGAAGTCAGTCAAAAGTTTCAGTTTATCCTAGATTTCACTAGACCAGCTTAGCTTAATCTAAAAGGAAGGGGAAAAGAATGCAAGAAACTGAGAATTAAAAAGGATATAAACCACCATCTAGTCCAATTATACTTGAAAGGAATCCCCACTATAACACAACCTGACAAGTAGTCAATCTTGCCTGTCTGGAGACTTCAAAGGAAGGGAAGTCCACCAACTCTTGAAACAATTCATTCTACTTTTGGTCAGCTCTAATTGCTAGGAAGTTTTTCCTGACATCAAGCCTAAACTGGATTCTTTGCAGCACTCACCTGTTGCTCATGGTTCTACCCTCTGGGCCAAATAGAACAAGTCTAGTATCTCCCCCACAAGACAACCTTTCAAATACCTGAAGACAGAATTATTCCACACCGTACCCCCTCTCTTCACCTTGCAAATCTTCTCTTCTTCAGGCTAGGGATGTCTTTAACATAAGAAAGGGGAATTTTAAAGTAGTATGAGTTTGGAAGAGAAAGAGGGAAGGTTCAGTTTTGGACATGTTGACTTTGAGATGTGTCCAAGGACATCTAGTTGGAAATGTTCAACAGGCGACTGGTGTTACATGACTGAAGTTCAAGGAAGAGAATGGGGCTGGATACAAAGATTGTTAGTCATTGCATACAGATAATAATTAAACCCACTGGAGCTGATGAGCTTAATAATGTTATTGATATTAATACCATTATAAGTTAGCACTTATATAACACTTTTAAAAGTCTGTAAAGCATTTAACGAATATTACCTTATTTTATCCTAAAAACCTTGATAAGTGGCACTATTACTGCCCCCATTTTACAGATGAATAAACAGAGGTTAAGTGATCCTGTAACTTGGTTACACAGCTAGTGTCTGAGGCCACATATGAACTCAGGTTTTCCTGATTCCATGTCAAGCCTGCCATGCACTATGCTACCTAGAAAATGTAGAGAAAGAAATGTAGAGAACTTAGGAAAGAGACTTGAGGAACATCTACAGTTAGGAGCATTACATGCATGATGAGCCTGCAAGGGAGACTGAGAAGGAATGTTTAGATAGGCAGAAAGAGAATCAGGAAATAAAAGCATCATGAAAATCCAAAAAGGAGAATTTCTAGGAGAAGAGAGTGGTCAATGGTGTGAAATGAGGCTAATAGGTTGATAAGGAGGAGAGCTGACAAGAAGACTTGGCACTTGAAAGACCACTGGCAACACTGATAAGGTGAGAAGTCAAACAGCAAAAGGTTGAGGAGTGAAAGGAGAGGCAGCTTTCTCAATGAGTAGTTAGAAGGGAGATGAGGCAGAGTCTAGTAAAGTTTTTTTTAAAGACAAGGACTAACTGGGCATATTTGAATATGGAAGTAACCAGTAGATAGGGAAGACTTAAAAGATTAGACAGAGCAAAGATATAGCTGAGGAGAAAGACTAAATGAGATAATATTTGTAAAAGTTCTTCTTACCACACTGCCTGGTACATAATAGATGCAACATAAATGTTTATTTCCCTTTATCCCTCTTTTGTCAGAGCCTGGGGGACAGGTATAGAAGGGGGAGATGATGTCA